AGGTGTTCCACCTATACGGTAAGCCTGAGTATGTAGAACATACAATAGGGTGAGGTTGTGGGTGAGGTGCAAGCGGTGTTCCTTGTACTACATGTAGGGAATAGACGTATTCCTACATTTCTCTGGCCAGTAGATAGTGATTACACACATGCCATAGATATTTGTTGCACTACATAGTTTTGGAACTGATAATGATATAAATGCTTTTAGAACTTATATTGCACATGTAAGTGAGCTTGGGGTGGAAGATCCTTGAGGACCCCTTGTCTTACTGAGATTTCTTGTTTAGAGATCTCACCCCACGTTTGGGGAATGCTTATTTCAGGGTCAGGTAATGTTGAGACCTCAGGCGGCAGGAGGCCGGAGCTGAGTTAGATTGCTGTTATATTATGCTGCCATGATTGGATGTTGGATTTGCATGCTGTTTATGCTTATAGCTTCAGTTATGTTTATGGAGTTTTATGTTGAGACTTGTTGTTTACTATGCTTATTTGGTTAGCATGGGGTTTGTCCATGACACATAGTATTGTTATGTCTTGTTTGTGTCTTGCGCCTTTTGAAGTTGTAATAATGTATCAGGATATTGTCCGGATTACGAGATGTAATACCGTGATTTAGATACACACTTTATTTATATATTGAGGTATTTCAGTAGATGTCTTATTGCAATTTACATACAGGCGATATTTTATGAAATTGATTAAGTAATCAAGTTGGTAATTGATAATGACGTCATAATTGAAAAGAAAAAGAATATTCCGCAATTTTTAATTAAGCACCGCTTAATACGATGTAATGTTAATATTCCGAGTATACACGGGGTGTTACAGCAATGATCACGCCTGGGTTAATACGGATCGTAACCTGGATACTCAAATCCAGGTTGAGGTCACTGAAGTACAGGGTGTGGCTAATACTGATGGGATTTCAAATCCTAATAATCAAATCCGGGTTGAGAACACTGGTGAAGGTCATAGCTTGGATAATTCCTACCCTGAATGCTGGAGCAGGTAGGAATATGGAGATCAACCGAGGTGATATGCATCACAATTGGGATACCCAATTTCATCATAATCGAGATCATATTCAAGGTCATGTTAAAGCTGGGGCATACAACATTTGTCGAAGTATGATGGAAGTCAGGACCCACAGGTCCACGTAGATGCTTTTGATACTAATATGTATATCAGAGATTGATGAACCAATTATATCCCGGATATTTGCTGCAACTTTGAGTGAAGCTGCTCAGACATGGTTCTCAACCCTACTTGCTAATTCTATTGGATTTTTTGAAGACTTGAAGAAAAGTTCTTATTGAATTTTGTAACGAGCAAGAAACATCCGAAAATGTTCGAGTTTAGAAGTATTTGAATTGTTTTAAAGATGCGGCATTACAAGTTCGAGTTTACAAGAAAATGTTCATTTGCATTTGATCGTGGCCAGCTTGGATGGTGCATCTCGGCTGACAAAATCAATATACAAAGATCTAGTGAAAACATTAGAGAAATTCAGAGCACGGTCAAAGAAGTACATGGAGCTTGAACAAATGGAGATAGCAAACTGATACGAACCTCACCAAGAATAGTGAGACCCAAGACCAATTTAGTTAGGATCATTTCTATAATCGGAATTTTAAAACAAGAAACAAAGAATCTTGACCCGTTATCTATGGAAGATAAGAACCAAAGGTATAAAGAAGGATAAAGACACCACACTCAAGAAAGAAGAAGGTGAGTGATAAGTCTATTTTGAACGCCACAAGAATAAGCTTCTTGATAAGTTCAGAGTTCTAGATAAGAACCAAAGAGAAGAAACCTCTCTATTATATTATAACTTCAAAATTTGATTACAAGAGTTATATCCTCCCTTATTTATGCTTGGAACATCCTTCCAATAATAGGAAAAGACTAACACATGAAAAGACATTAATTTAAAGTTGACAACTTGGAAAAATGAAAAGACTCTAATCAGCCCAATAATCATTAATGACATTGAAAAGGTTAATCAACCCCACTAAGCATTAATAACATTGAAAATGCTATCAGCCCCACTAAGCATTAATGACATTAAAAATTGCTAATTATTTCACTCAACCTTCCTTGCATGGACGACATCAACTAAATTCTGATTATGAATAAATTTGGACTTGATGTCTTCATGATTAGCCCACATTTGCTGCATCAACCCACTAAGAGTTTCTTTAAACTTCTTGGCCCTTGATCTTGTGATTGGCCCATTTAGCAATTGTAATGAATCACTCGGTGTTGTCTCCTTGTTCATATCATTCCCTCCCTCTTCAAAAGAATTTGTCCTCAAATCTGCACCTACATCATAAGGAGATAAATCAAAACATGAAAGCTTGCACTAACATTATTCTCACCTGGAAGGTCAAGCTTGTAGTCATTATCATTTATCCTCTCAATCACTTAAAATGGTCCACTACCCCTTGGAAGCAATTTGAAACGTCTTTGGGCTATAAATATTTTCTTTTTCATATGTAGCCAAACCCAATCTCCTGGTTCAAAAACTACTTTCATGCGCCCTTTATTAGTCTATTGCTAACGTAGGCCATATGATGCGCCCCATCAACGTTAAGCTCAATACCAGGGTTGAGAAGCCTAATATGATTTAATGCATTGTTGAAAGAGCCTAAGACAACATTCTCAAGCTCGATATGATATTGCGAAGCCTCGCCTTCATAATGGATAACATTATTTACAGCCTCTTTCAACTTTGCATCAGTAGACTCAAACATCACCTTAAATGACTTCATGTTCTCAACATTATGAACATGAGTCATTTGAAGAGAAAGGAAGACGACATTCATTGTCTTGTAATCCTCCTTCACCTTGAGGAACTCCTCGTAAGTCTTGGCCTTCTCCTCCCTGGTAGCATTCATCTCGGTGAGAGCCTTGTGACATTTATTTTCCAAGGCAACCAAAGGCCTCACGAGAGAAATCATATTTATGGCATTCAATTCAATTACCTCCAACTCCTTTATCTCGGCATCATAGAAAGGGTTGGTATCAAAGAAACGAGCAGGAAGACGAAGGACATTGCGAAGGTCGTTGCTCACTCCAGTCTCCCAAATGGAACCTTGGGAGAGACCAAATAGAGTTGGAGGAGGACGAGTTTAAGTGGTAGTTGCCAAAGCCTGGGAAGAAGCCTGGATGTCTTTCACTTTGTCAGCTGAGGTCCCTTTGGACTTATCCCCGTCACTATTCTTCTTAGCCCTTGAGTCAGGGGTCTTCAATTTCTGGGAGGTAAGACCGACAACCGCAGTCTTCTTACCATGGCTCAGTGATGTGAAGAAACTCAGCTGCTCATTTTGCAGTCCCTCCATACCTGGAACTACAAAATACAAACAATATAACCATGTAAAAATGGGATCTTGACATTACAATTATCAAACAAATAAATAGTAGAGAAATCATACTCATTTCCAAATTTAACTCCTCTTGAGATTTGAAAATAAATGTTGCCACGCTATCATAACCATGCTGCTTCACATATGCAAGCATGGAGAAAACCGCATTAACCTCAATGTCAGACAACTCCGTTTCACTGAAATGATAATTGGAAGTAGCAAAATTATGATGGTCAGGAGACCAATTTAAGGGAAATCTCCCCTCTTCATCCTCCGCCTCTGAGGAGCGAAGGAACCAAGGTTCTTTCCCGACTTGAGCAGTAACTTTAAAGAACTTATCTTCAAAGTTCTTGAAAGACTCAAAATAAACATGGAAGAGTTTCCTTAAAGGGTGAACCCGGATATTTAGCTAACCCTTTCTTTCCGTAGGTTCGCGACCAGTACGAGGAGGTAATGGCTTGGAAAAAGTAAAAGAAAAGAGAAACTGTGCAAGGAAAAGTCAAATACGCATAGAAACGCTCAAATGCTTTGACAAAACCCCAACCATTGGGTTGGAGTTGAGAGGGAGCAATATGAAGATGATTTATAACACAAATTTGAAATTCGGATAAAAAAAATCGAATGCTGAGTTTGGGATAAGATCTCAGAAAAAGAAGAAAAAATAAAGCTCATCCAGGTACCTCCCTCAGCAAATCGGCTTATTTTCATGGGGAGGAACGAGATCATAATTCTCTAAGTTGCCGACATTAAGCCCGATTATATCCTCCACACTCATCTCGGATACAGTACTTAATACTTCGTAAGTTACCCAGGGGTACTGCTGTAACACCCTCCTTTGTATGCATCCAAGAGAGTTGTTTGCTAAGTGGATTAGAGTTCTTAATGTCATTACTTGAATACTAAAAATTCATTTTCAGTTGCTAATTAAAAATTATAATTGAAATCGAGCCACTTACAAAAATCAGAGTGCACTTTCAAAATTTCTTAACTTGCTGAAAATATTATTTTCCAGGCAGACATTGCTGTCTTGAAAAATTCGTATAAAATCAAGCTCATCGATCCACAAAAATATTCTTTGTGATATAGAAACTAGACATCTGGGGCTTCATGTACATATAAATTATACGCGAATCGGAGAAGAATAGCCCCATGAAACAGAACTCGTAAAGTACTCAAAACTCCGTGTATTTTTCTAGAAACCTCCGGACTCGTAAAAATCATAATAAATCGAGTTTCAAAATTTCATTGTAAGGTTTATATAATCTGAAAGTACACAACTGGGGCTTTACATCCATATAAAATATACCTCAATCGGAGGCCAGTAGCCCCAGAACGACAACTTGCAAGGTGCTCACAAAACAGTTCAAAAATCTGAATTTTAAAATACAACAAAGTTATTTTCGTAAACTAAATACCAAACATATACATATCATGCTACGCTTCTTTTTCAAAACAGGATATACATCCTATCATGTAATTCTTCAAAAGATCTCACACTATTACTCAATTAAATCATGTCCAACGCATAGAAAGTAAAACATAACATAAGTTGGATATCGGAACGACAATAACATCATGCATGATTCTCAGGATATTATGCATAAACATAATTACAGAGTTCAGCAATGCTTCATCAAATTTTCAGAATTCAATTCCCAAAACAAGTTTACTAATCTTCATAACATCTTATTGCATATAATTTTTCAGCATCTAATCCAACAGAAACAGAACTAACAGCAGTAATCCTCAAACAACAGAGCATCAACCAAGTACTTCCAATGACATGCTTTATCAAATATTTCTTTATCTTCCTGCAATTTATAAAAATGCAGCCCCCGAATGGGAGAGAGAAATCCCAGTAGTGTGGCAATAAAACCAATACAACAACAATATTAGACTAGGTACAAAATTCCAGAATAGTCGCATCAACATTTAAATTTCCGGACAGATGTTAACATATAATCAAGGTGCGTATATAACGCCAAAGTACTAATCAAGATTCGTATATAACTCCAAAGAGTACGTTCATAGCACCGTCGTGCACGTACCAACAAACACAGTGGATATTCCATAGGGCTCCCTAAAAGGTGAATTCAACTGGACCTATGCGGACTGAAGCCAAGTGTCCCATACCCTGGTACCGTAGGGATGCCTATATGATGCGTGCTCAAACATTTACTTATATTTATTATATACTTCATTTTCCAAGATGAATGCATAATGTGGTATGCAATGGCATGCTTGACACACACACAAACAGACACAGGTGAAACATGATGTGCATATGCATGACTAGATCATAATCATATAGCATTATCTCTTGTATATGTAATACCAAGCTGCCAAATAACAAATACTTCCATAGGCAGAATTTCCCATCAAGACAAGCCCAAAGCAGAATACATATATCATATAACTGAATACTAAGCATAAAGCACATGTGAGCATCAGTTCAAAATTCCATACTCTAGCTAATAGTCACAGTAAGTCTCACCACCAAACACATACCTTATGTCCAACCAATAATCAACAACACCAAAATTCAGCCCACTCAATAAGAGTTACGTGCACCTAAATACACGCGGTACAAGTCAGAATTTTATTCATACATCCCTATTATTTATAGGAACTTCGCATGCCTCCTTATTCTTGTATTTCATTCGATTTACCATGCTTCTTGTGCTCACCAATTTCTGCCTTCCCATTAATTACTAACATGTTACCATAATAAAATCCTAAATTTCCAATGCTTGCCAATTCGGTTTTCATCATGCCACTCAATCACAACAATTTTCTGACTTCTTATTAATTTATCAAAGGTTAATAGTGAAATTTCCTAGATTCTCCACACATACTAATTCAGTTCTGTTTAGCATAAAAGGTTCAGAATTTTATTCACTTAACCAAGCCACTAATTGCTAACAAATCAGAATTTTCCAGGGTTTACAACACACACCCCAAATTCGGTTTTAACATACTTTCTAACTTAGATTCAATTTCTGACTTGGTTTAGCTTTACCCCACATTAACAAAATTTACCACTTCTTAATTATACAATCTCGGCTTTGACTAATAATTAGGAATTCATAATTTAGACATTCATCTAACCTTTCTACAATTCCTAAGGTGCACTAGGGGAAACCCAAAAAAAATCATGTTGTGAACGTTCATCAAGACATATGCTAGGCCTAATTAATTCTCTTAGTCCCAAGGAATCAGTTCCACTTACAAGGCTTAGAAAGGTGATTCAAATATCTTTCAGGATGTTGTTCCCATTAAGTTTTGACACATGCAAGGCTTGAGACTTTAATCTAACTCAAGGGACATTCCTATTATGGGTGGGGCTAATTTCCAAGTCCCCAAAATCTGTCCTGAGGCACGCATGTAGCAGGGTTTACGGCTTGGGCAAGTTAATGGAGGATGACAAAACAGAAAATTGTTTCTAATAACCTACTTCCCAGCCGAACAGTGTAGAAAGAAGAAAAGAATTATGGAAAACCCCACTTACTTGTTCTCAACCGTTCAAAGAACCACAATCAAGCAAGGACAGCCCAAACACTTTTTCTTATACTCCAAGAGACCGGTTCCACTGCATGCAAGGGGGCAAGAGTTCGACCAAGGCTTGGCCAAGTGTATGCAGAAAGATAATTCAATCAGAGTCAATTCAACTAGGGAAAACAGTTACAACCAGAATTTTCTCACCTCTTTGATAGGTGTACTCGACTGATAGGGGAGGAAAGGAGACTTGAACATTGAGCTCTTTGTAAAAATAAAAGAGGCTTTATGGTAATTGACGTTTCGCATTAATGGTAATTGACGTTTTGACATTTTGCATTATGGTAACGTTTTGCATTAATGGTAATTGACGTTTTGACGTTTCGCATTAATGGGAAGTTACAGGGAGTTATTTGAAACTCCGTAACTGGTGACATGGTTCAGTTATATAAAGAGAAAAATGGTGAGTCTCTGATTATGATTATCTCTCAGAATTCTCTCCTTCATGGTCTGCCCATAAAAGTTGTATCAGATCCCTGTCATAGACGATACAAGGAAAGCAGAGGGTAAAGACTCTGAGAAACAATCTTCCATCATCAAAGTTCTTCCGCACTAATGGAGAAAGGTACGCTCTTATGTGAAACTCATGAATTCTAAAGATCCTCTTTCATGTTCTTGAATGATTACTGATGAACATGTATTACTGATTTACTGATAAAATTACTTACAGTTGGTATCAGAGCATGTGTTTAAGAATTTGTGTTTTTCCATAAATAATTATGAATGAATTTCTGATTCATGAAGAGTTAGGGTTTTGGATAAAGCATCATGAAAAGAGAAACTAATCGATAAAGCATTTTTTGAAATTAATATCAAATGCTTTTTGTTAACTGTGCATCATGAGAAGAATTTGTACTGGCTAAAGAAATATTCAAAGTTGTTGTCGTAGGTCTCCTTGAATGTTCTCGGTTTTCGTGTTTCTTAATGGATGAAAATTTGCATTCGGTTTTAATGCCATTCAATTTTGATTTGAATTGAGTTTGAAAAGCATTTTCAATTGTTTTGAATGGATTATGTTAACCGTGCATAATGGAGAACAAAGGTACTGTGTGAATTTTATTTTTATTTTTTAACGTAAATTTTTCTCGGTTTTCGTGACAAAGCCATTTATTTGTATTGATGGCTTTTCAATGTAAACAATTACGCCATTCAATTTTGGGATGCCATACGTCGGTTTTCCAATTCACTGTTTAGAAACTTATATTGATTTGAATGGCTTTTCGGTAAATGTGCATCGCTGTTGGATTTTATAACGTGCATCACTGTTTCATGAATTTGCTTCTCGGTTTCATAAATTATTGGAGAAACTGATATTGATTTGGACTGAAGGTTCCAGTAGCCATTTAATGCCATTTGTTTTTTTTTTTTTCATGCCATTCGATTTAATGGATAAAGCTACTGTATGATTATGTAATATTTACGATTTTAAATTGAATGATTATGTGATGTGGCTGGATTAAATTGAATGTGAAAATTTAATCCTATTATTGTTTATGAAATTTTTTAGTTTTGGAATTAATTATGATAGATTTGTTAGTCACCAAAGTGGCCAAATCTTGAAGAGTTATTTTAATTCCAAATATTATGAATTTTATTTCAATTACCATGACTGTGATGCTGTGAATAGTATGATAATTATTCATGTTGTGGTATATTGAAGTTCATTATTATAGGACAGTTAGGGATCAACCCAAAGGTTGATTATTTGTTTTATAAAATGAACATGGATGTTGGTATTGTTGGCATATTTCCTCACATTTGGACATCCAAAGATGACAAATATTTATGATAGGGGTATGCATCATTGCCAAATTATGTGAAATTTATATAGCATCATTATAGTTAATGTTGTATGTTAATGGATCCCCAAAGGCGAACATTGATATGCATTGAAGTTAGTATAGTTGAATCTGTGAAGTATGTTAGTATGTGACATGTATGATTCAAAGTATTAATATTTAAATATTATTCCTTGTAGTACCTGTTGCCACACATTCCATGTTCTTAACTGTTGCAGTTTTTAATGGGCTGGACTTCTCTGAATGAAAATAGCAAATCAATTTTTACCTTGGGGTAATGGATATGGATTTGGCTCTAAGAGAAGAGGAACCTAGTGCTATTACTCCTGAAAGCATTGAGGATGAAAGGAACCATTTTAAGAACCGGGAAAGATCCAACAGATTAAGTTTGATGTACATGAAAATGAGCATAGCAAGCAACATTAAGTCAGCTCTTCCACAAACTGAAAGTGCCATCGAAATGATGAAACTTGTGGAAGAGCGCTCCCAAACTGCTGATAAGTCTCTTGCTGGGACACTTATGAGTACACTGACCACCATGAAGTTTGATGGTTCGCGTACTATGCATGAGCATGTTATTGAAATGACAAGCATTGCGGCAAAATTGAAAGCATTGGGAATGGCTGTGGATGAGAACTTCCTGGTGCAGTTCGTATTGAACTCATTACCGTCTGAGTATGGTCCTTTCCAAAATGAACTATAATACCATGAAAGACAAATGGAATGTGCATGAATTGCACAGTATGTTAGTTCAGGAAGAAACCAGAATTAAGAATCAGGGAGCTCATTCTGTCAATTATGTAAAGCATCAAGGAGCTGAACAGAATAAAGGTAAGAAGCATGAGAAGAAAGGAGGAAGAGGAGGACCCCTTAAAGTGAATGAGGCCTCTTCTTCTAAAATCCACAAGGCCAAATGAAAAATTTGTCTTTATGGGCAATAAAGTGAAAGTTCCGGTGGAAGCTGTTGGGACTTATCGTTTAATTCTCGACAGTGGATATCATTTGGACTTATGTGAAACTTTGCATGTCCCTAGTATATCTAGGAATTTAGTTTCAATTTCCAAACTTGATGTTGCTGGGTACTCTTTTAAATTTGGTAGTGGTAGTTTCAGTTTGTACAAACACAATCATTTGATTGGTAATGGTACTTTATGTGATGGATTATATAAATTATGTCTTGATAATCTTTATGCTGAAACACTTATGACTCTGCATCATAATGTTGATACTAAATGTACCTTAATTAACGAATGTTCCGCTTACTTGTGGCACAAACGTTTGGGACATATTTCCAAAGAAAGGATGCAAAGATTGGTGAAGAATGAAATCCTTCCGGATTTAGATTTTACTGATTTGAATGTTTGTGTGGATTGTATTAAAGGAAAACAAACAAAACACACAAAGAAAGGAGCCACAAGAAGCACTCAGCTTCTTGAAATTATACACACTGATGTATGTGGTCCGTTTGATGTTAATGCCTTCAATAAAGAAAAATATTTTATCACTTTCATTGATGATTATTCACGTTATGGTTATGTCTATTTGTTGTATGATAAGTCTCAAGCTGCAAATGCTTTGGAGATTTATATTAATGAAGTTGAAAGGCAATTAGACAGAAAGGTGAAGATTGTCAGGTCTGATAGGGGTGGTGAATATTATGGAAAGTATGATGAAAGTGGACAACATCCGGGTCCATTTGCTAAATTTCTGGAAAAGAGTGGTATTTTTGCTCAATACACAATGCCCGGTACACCGCAACAGAATGGTGTATCAGAAAGGCGTAATAGGACCTTACTGGATATGGTTAGGAGTAGGTTAACTAATTCTTCTTTACCTGTTTCATTGTGGACTTATGCTCTAAAAACTGCCATGTACGTATTGAATAGGGTTCCTAGTAAGTCAGTTCCAAAGACTCATTTTGAACTTTGGACTGGAAGGAAACCTAGTATAAGACACCTGCATGTTTGGGGTTGTCAGGCAGAGATTAGATACTACAATCCGCAAGAAAAGAAACTGGATGCAAGGACAATCAGTGGTTATTTCATTGGTTATCCAGAAAAATTGAAAGGGTATAGATTTTACTGTCCTTATCATACTACAAGGATTATTGAATCTGGAAATGCAAGGTTCATTGAGAATGGTGAAGTTAGTGGGAGTGAAACACCACGTAAAGTGGATATTCATAAAGTGAGAGTACAAGTTCCATTACCTTGTAGCTCTAGTAAAGTTATTGTTCCTTATGCTATTGAACCAATCAATAATAATGAAGGACAAGTTAATGATCCCACTACTCATGAAGAGATCATTGTTGATGAACCGAATGAACCCATAGTAGAAGAACCACAACAAATAGCATTAAGAAGATCTCAAAGAGAAAGGAGACCTGCTATTTCTAATGATTATGTGGTATATCTACAAGAGTTTGAATTTGACATGGGTATTCAGGATGATCCAGTAACGTTTTCACAAGCCATGAATGGAGAAAATGGTGATAAATGGTTAGATGCTATGAAAGATGAGTTGAAATCTATGGAACAGAATAAGGTCTGGGATCTTGTTGAGTTACCAGAAGGGTGTAAGAGAGTTGGTTGTAAATGGGTCTTTAAGACCAAACGTGACTCTCATGGTAACTTGGAACGTTACAAGGCCAGACTAGTTTCAAAAGGATTCACTCAGAAAGATGGCATTGACTATAAAGAAACTTTTTCACCAGTCTCAAAGAAGGATTCTTTAAGAATTATTATGGCATTGGTGGCTCATTATGATCTAGAGTTACACCAAATGGATGTGAAAACTGCCTTTCTAAATGGAAATTTAGATGAAGATGTGTACATGGACCAACCAATGGGGTTCATAGAAAAGGGTAAAGAGCACATGGTGTGCAAACTTAAGAAGTCAATATACGGACTTAAACAAGCTTCACGGCAATGGTACCTTAAGTTCAATGATACCGTTGTTTCCTTTGGATTTAAAGAAAACATTGTTGATCGATGTATATATATCTGAAGATCAGTGGGAGCAAGTTTATCTTATTGATTCTGTATGTTGATGATATTTTGCTGGCAACTAACGATCTTGGTTTTTTAAATGAGACTAAGAAGTTTCTCTCTAGTAACTTCGAAATGAAAGATATGGGTGAGGCAGCTTATGTGATAGGAATAGAAATATTCCGTGATAGATCACAAGGACTGTTAGGTTTGTCTCAGAAAGCATATATTAATAAAGTTCTAGAGAGATTCAGAATGGAAAACTGCTCATCATCTTCAGTTCCAATTCAGAAAGGAGATAAGTTTAGTCTCATGCAATGTTAGTTTCATGCAATGTCCTAAAAGTGAATTGGAATGA